ATCGTTACGGTCTCGTTTAAAAAAAAAAAAAAATCAGTTCAAACTTTTAATTTAATAAAAATTCTCTCTGAAAAGTTCTAAAAAAAAAACTTTACACGTATAATACGCGTATAATACGCGTATAATATTAATTCGCGTTTTAATAAAAAATTAAAACTTTTGTTATAATAAAAATAAAGTAATAAAAAAAAATTCAATATGGCGGACAACAACATTCCGGAGCATCGCTTTCGATATTTTTCTCTCTAATTGTCAATAAATTAAGTTTTTTTTTTTTTTTTTTTTTCTAGAATTTTGGGAAGATCATTTTCATTGTAAATATCCAAACAGTTCAGTGACTCCCTACAATATAAAATATAAAAAAATGTGTACGAAAAAAGAAAAATTAACAAAAACAAACACCATGTTCGAAGCACAATTACAATTTGTTAGCGATGCCGTTATGGCGTTCGCTCACGCGTTCAAAGACATGCACATGGATTTATGCGATGGTAAACCCGGAATATGCAACGAATTAAAACCAATAAAAGGAACCGAATTATTAAAATATTTAAGAAAAATTAAATTCACGGGTAAATATATATATGTGTAATTATCGTTGTTTTATTATCATTAATACATTTTCAAAATGGCGCTTTCCTTTCTTTATCAAGGTTTAAGCGGTGACGAATTTCATTTTGATCCGAACGGTGATGGACCTGCCAGATATAACATAATACATTTTAAACAAGTTGCACCGAACGATTACAAATGGGTACGAGTAGGACAATATTTGGAAGGTGAACTTAAATTGAACATATCCGGTATGTATACGAATGTATTTCCGGTTATGCGTATAACGTTTTTTTATTATTATTCGACTTTTTTACTTTCTTTCTTTTAGAAATTCAATTTAAATTAAGCCATCCTAATCCACCGGAATCTGTTTGTAGTCTTCCCTGCAGCACAGGACAAGCAAAAAAATACGTTGATGGCGAATCCTGCTGTTGGCATTGTTTTAATTGCACTCAATATCAAATTCGTAGTCCATTGGATGAAACGCAATGTGAAAATTGTCCTATGGTTTGTTTCGTTTGTTCCTTTCTTTGTTTTCGTACAATTTTTTATATTCTACATTATTATCATTATTATTATTTAAGGGTACGACGCCGAACGAATTAAAAACAATTTGCATTGAAATTCCCGAACAATTTTTAAGACCGGAAAGCGGTTGGGCGATCGGTGCCATGTCTTTTTCGTCTACAGGAATTTTAATAACTTTATTCGTGGTTGGAATTTTTGTCAAACATGGCGATACTCCCGTCGTAAGAGCTTCCGGTCGTGAATTGAGTTACGTTTTATTATCTGGAATATTACTTTGTTACCTTTTGACCTTTGCATTAGTTTTAAGGCCGACGGATTTTGTTTGCGGTATACAAAGATTCGGAGCTGGATTTTGTTTCGCCGTAAGTTTTTTTTTTTCTTATTCATTCTTTTCTTGTTTTCATATCGAATAATAATAATAATAATAATTAATGTTTGCAGGTGGTGTATGCAGCACTTTTAACAAAAACAAACAGAATATCAAGAATTTTTAACGCTGGTAAAAGAACGGCAAAAAGACCATCGTTTATATCACCGAGATCTCAAATAATCATTTGCTGCGGATTAGTCGGAGTACAAGTAAGTATTATTATTATTAATTTCTTTTCCTCGTCTTTTTCGTTCCGAACCTTTTTTTTTTTTATTTGTTCAGGTATTAATCAACGGTGTTTGGATCGCCGTTTCTCCTCCTCGTGCTGTCCATCATTATCCCACGAGAGATGACAATCATTTGGTTTGCAGTTCGCACATTGACGCATCTTACATGATTGCATTCGGGTATCCGATACTATTAATAATAATATGCACGATATACGCAGTTTTAACGAGAAAAATTCCAGAAGCTTTCAACGAATCTAAACACATAGGTACGTTTACCAGACACCCCCCCTTTCCCACTAACTTCCGTTCCCGAAAAAAATTAATGGATTTTATATAATCCGACAGGTTTCACCATGTACACTACTTGCGTTATATGGTTGGCATTTGTGCCACTTTATTTCGGTACGTCGAATCACGTGCCCTTGAGAATAACATCAATGGCAGTTACGATATCATTATCCGCATCCGTGACGTTAGCTTGTTTATTTTCACCTAAATTGTACATAATATTAGTTCATCCGGAAAGAAACATAAGACAAAGCATGATGCCGGCAAGACACGGCGTGGGTTAGTACCGATTATTATTTTTTCTTATTTCTTTGGGGGGGTATTTCACCGATCGATATATCGTTTCAGGTAAAAATGTTGCACTCACGGGAACGAGTCATAGTTTTATAGGACCTGCAGCGGCGATTGTACCAAATTTACCAAACACTCAAACTTCTTGTTTAAGTGTTAAATTGGTCAGAGTCGACGAAAGCACGCAAAGTGACGGTAAGTGTTGCCAACTTCAAAAAAAATTTTTTTTTTTTTTACAATCTTCTAATCGATAAAATTTTAATTTTTGTTGCCTTTTTAGTTTACGAATTAGAATTAGAAAATAATATGAAATCCAACAACATAAAAACTCAATCGACTCAATCTACTCAAACGTTAAACAACAATTACGAAACGAAATATGCTCAAACTTTGTGTCATAATGCGATCATACCGGAAATAATTCAAACACCACCGGATCATTCTCCCGTACCAGAAATAATAGGAAACGATACAAAAATAAATAATTGTAACGGAAACGCAAATAACAATTGTAACTCTTAGAACTTATACATATATATTTTTTTTTATTTGCCAAAAAAAAAAAAACATTTTTAATGACATTGTGATAAATTAATAATTTAATTATTATCAGGGGATTATGTAGACCAAAATATTATATTTAAACCGTTATTATTATTATTATTATTTTCACTCATAATCATGACGATTCGTCTCAATGTTTGTCGGAGGTTTTTCAACATTTATTCCAGGTTTCTACCTGCCGATCCCTAAGGAATAAATGCCTGAATATCAGTGACGATGTTGCATGCCTGGTGGATAGGTTCTATCTTGTTATGGTGACATATGACGTCACAATAATTCTTGTAAGTCTCACTGAGACCATCTTATTTGATGGAAACGAGTTATTTCCCGTACTCCTACGCTCCAGGGACTGATACCTGTGGAGTGGCCAGGAACAGGAAAAGTGAGCATCACAACCTTGTAGAGGTGACTAAGGTCGTCAAGGTAGAACAAGATTTGCCTTTTGGTTCTGTCTTTATCTTGTTCTCCTCATTTTGCTCTATTACAATTATGAATCAGTCATCATATATTTTTTCCTCAGAACTGATTCAATACCTAATTTTCCTACTATTTTCCCTCGTGCATTTCATTCTTAATTTATGCACACAGTATACAAATTACAATTTTGTACCTACAAACTTAATTAATCTGAAGGCAGTTGTTGAATTTTTCTAATTTTAATTGAAAATTTACACTAAAAATATGGCAAAATATTTTATAATGTAATAGGCTAACAAAAGAGAATGGAGGTGTACAGAGATTTTATATTCACCTGATACCTTAAATTAATTTAGTACGAGTATGTTTAATACTGTTAATGGCAAAATACTTTAAAATGTATCAAGCAAACATAAGAAAAAGGAGGTAGAGAGTAAAATAAAATTCAAACAATGGATTCCCGCTTAAAATCAGGTGTACGGAAATTTTATATTTGCCTGATACCTTAGATTTATTAATTGCAAGTATTTTTATTAAACTACCTTCTAAATTTTTATTTAGTGTGACAGAGGTATTTAGCTCAACAACTTATAAGTAATAAAATAAATAAAAAATTTTGCATACTTTTCTGTTTTTTTTTTTGAGTATTTGCTGCTCCATTTTTTTGTTAGCCTATCATAGTTATTAAATGTTTTATCGGCATTCGTTTTTTTTTTTTTTTTTTTTTTTTTTTTTTAAACGATGGCTTCGTGAAAAAGAAAAAGAAAAAAAATTTGATTACGTGCAAAACAACAACCCATTGTTGTTGATTCCGTCCATGACAAAAAAAAAAAAAATAAAAATAGAACGACAGTAAAATGCTGTGTAGTGTAATTAAATAAATAAATAAAGTGCCTGAGTATCTCTGAGATTAATTAAACATTGAAAAATGTCGTTAGAAAATTTTGAACAATTTGGAAAAAAAAAATTATATTTATTTAATTAAAATAAAATAAGTAAAATGTTTGTCGTGTATTTGTTACAAAACGACAACAACAACAACAACAGTAAATCTGTCGTGATAACGCGACACGATAATAATTTTTTTTTATTTACATAAATTTTTCTTGCGATTGTTTATCTTTTTTCGAGCGCCATTTTTTAAAGAGAAAACATTCGCGAACGCTTTTTGGTGATTATTTAAAGGTCTATTTATTTAAATAAAAAATGTCGATGTTCGTTTTTATTTGAAAAATAAATAAATAAATAAAAAATTTGTCAATTTATTAAATAAAATTCGAACGTCGTCAGTATACGAGTTCAGTACGCATCTGAACTCGTATACTTAAAATATAAATTACCGACATTTTTTTTTATTATGGTAAATTTTATTAATAAACGAATCGCATTACATAAATAAATGTTTATAAAAATTGTAAAAAATTATTTATTATTAATATTTATTCATATAAATAAATAAGTAATTTTTTTTATATATACTGTAATAAAATAATAAATAATTTTTATGTACCAATTAAAGTTAATAATTTAATCATACGAATTATAAATAAATAAATATTTAATAATGTTTAAATAAATTTTTAATATTTAAATAATTAATGTTTTAATAAAATAATTGTTATTATTATTATTAATTAATTTATGTATATGTATATATTTAACATATCTTTAATAAATAAATAAAGTCACATAAATTTTAACAAAAAAAAAAAACAAAATTTAGTAAAAAATTTTGAGCCCATTTTTTACTAAAATTTTTAATTTTTTTGTGTGTGACTTTATTTAATTTATTATTATTATTATTAATAATAAAAAACGATTGAAAATTTTTTAAATTTGTGACGTCATTTCCGTTAAACCGAACACTTAACGGACATTTTAAATTGTATTCGTTTTACATTTCTTTTTAGTTTTTCAAACCGTTTTTTTCTTTTATTATTATTATTATTTCATTCGTTGTTAAAATAATAATAATAATGTTGATGATGATGATAATTACGGAGATAATAATTTTGTTTAAATCGTCATTAATAAAATAATACATAACTTTTTTATTTAATTTTATGTATTAAAAAAACAATTTAAATAGAATAATAAAAAAAAATACGTTGAAGTTTTTACACGACCGACATCTATCGGTAAATTTTATAAAACAAAAATTTAAATTTAAATACAGAAAAAAAACAAAAGATGGAAGTCGGTTAAATTGGATAATAAAAAATAATTTTATTTATTAATATTAATATTATTCTCATTATTATTATTATTATTATTAATTATTTATAAATAAGTAAGAAATTTATATTTTTATTAGACAAAGCTATTATTACATAATTATTGATGTAAATAAATGTAATAGTATTTGAAAAAATTTAATGTATGTTTTTACATATATAATAATAATAATAATAAATTTTTATTTTAATTTAATAAATGACATTAATATTAATAATGATGATAATATGATTATGATGACACTTTTAAATAAAAATAACTATTAAATGTTTAACTTATTATTGTATTTTTAATCGGACGATTTGTATATTTAAAAATAATTACATATATATTAATAACGGTTAGAAAATTTTTTAGATAATCATAATAATAATAATAATAATAATAATAATCGAATGTGTACATGGCAAATCCCGTTAGCCTACCCTCCCCCCAAAAAAAAAAAAAAACAAATGAACCTTTCTTATTAATTTATTTATTTATGTTAATAAAAAATAAATTTTCATTTTAAAAAAATTAAATATTAATTGCAAATAAATATAATTTAATTTTTTTGTATCATAAATTATTATTATTATTATTAGTTAATCGATATGAATAAATAAATATATGATTTAGAAAAAAAAAGAAAAAAAAATATTCGCCGATTTCCATTTAACTTTTATTCTTTCTTTTTTGTTATCTATTTAAATTTCATTTTAAAAAAATTTTTTTTACGCGCGCGCGCCCACTCGCACACCCGCACCCACGCGCACGCGGTCACGTGGTCGGACTTCGTTTAAACTCGAAAGCACGTGTTTTATTGTTTATAATTATGACCTCATTAATAAAAAAAAAAAATTTTTTTTTTATTATTATTTGAAAACTTACAAATATAATAACCATCGCCAAAAGGTAAACATAAGAAAATGTGACTTTTTTATAAAATTTTTCTTTTATTTCTGTTAGCCTGATACCTACGTAATAACAACCAGACGACGTAATCCGAGTTTCTCACTCGTTTACTCGTAGAGTTTCAATCTCGTTTGTAAAAACAAAAACATGTCGTCGTAATTTTAACGGGTATTTTTTTTATCTTAAATTTTTTTTATTTTTTCTAAAAAAATCCGTCCCAGTTTTGAGTATCGAAAACCTCACAACGGGTAAGTCTAAATAAAAATTATTTAATCAATAATAATAATAATAGTAATAATAACGACGATGGTATAAAAATTTACGCGGGAATTTCAGGGCGTTAACATCATCACAATTTTTTTTTCGAACGTGTTTAGAATTATTAAAACTTTTAATAAAACATTTCTTTCATTTATTTATTTATTAGTTTCGAGAGTTTGTCTCGTTTGTTTCGTTTGTTTGTTTTGTATTATTCGGTGATCGATTACGTAACGAAACATTTTTTCAAGTTGATAATTATTATTTAAGGTATGCGAGGAGTGTTTTATTTCTTTTTTTTTTTTTAAAACAGGTTTTTTTTTGTTGTTTGTTGTTGTTTATATGGTGATTTAAAAGAAGAAAAAAATTGTTGTTGTTGTTTTCTCTTGGCTGTTTTTGTTTTCAATTACGCGTGATTTTATTAAGTTTATTATTATCGAGCTATAATGGGAAAAAAAATTAATAAAAAAAAAAAAAAAGATTCGAGTTAAGAAAAAAAAGCAAAAGCAAACTTTCGTACAAATCGTTTGTTTCGTTTAAAAAAGAAAAATTTGTTTGTTTGTTTTTTATACGTGTGGGCGAACAAAACGGGACAAACAATTTATTTTTTAACGTCGATTCTATTTTGGTCTTTTTTTTATGAGACAAAATGAACAAAAAAAAATTTTTTTGTAAAATTATACGTACATGTACGTACAGAAACAATTCAATTTTCGAGTTTAAAAACAGACAAACAAACAAACAAGCAAACAAACGACCGAAGTCTATCGAATGGGAAAAAAATAAAATAAAAAACTTATTTAATACCCACGTGTATAATTCTTATTTTTTAATTAATTTTTGCACATGCACGTGCGAGGATCGTAACGATTTAAATTCCAATCAAAAACATTTATTATTGTTATTATTAAAGAGGGATCAAATCGGGAATTTTAATAAATAATATCCCTTTGAAGAAATCAAATCCCCTTTGATGTTACCATTTAAAAAAATTTTTTTTTGATTCGTTTTTCAGGTATTTCAACAAAATGGCCGAAGGAACGATTAACATGATTTTTTGGTTTTTGGTTTTGGTTTTTCTTTCATATTGGATCGCGTGCATGTGTTTCATACCTTATTTAATCGTCTCGATATTCGTGCCTTGCGTACCCGATCTCAAGGTCATTTCGGACATGCTACTCAAAGGATTATCATTTCCGTACATATGCTCCGATAACATGGTCAACAGGAGAGGATTAACATGCGGATGATCGTCGTCATCTTTCCCCTCCCCCACCTTCCCCCCTTTCCTCCTCTCACTCGCTTAACCTCCTTCCCTAAACATTAATTATTATTATTATTAATATATTTTATGTATCAGAAGCATTTCCATTAATATTTAACGCGGCGTAAAAAAAATCAATAATAATAATACTAACGATTATCATTATTATTATTACGATGGTTATGATGATGATGATGATGAGGATATTTTTAAATAAAAATAATACTTCAATATATATATATATATTAATTTATTTATTTTTAATAAAACTTATTTTTTAAAAAAATTTATTTATTTATTTATGTATTTATTTATTCACATTTTTTTTCTTTCTTAAACTTATTATTAATAATAATAATAATAACAACTAAGTACCTATAAAATTCATTTATTAAATTTTTTTTTTTTTCATAACAAAAGAAAAGCGTTTTTTTTTATTTTATTAATAATAATAATTATAAGAATAATGATAATAATAATGATTGATCGATCGATTGATAATAACAATAATAATTCGTGGATTTTTTTTTGAACTGGAAAGAAAAAACTGGAAATTTTTTTTTTCTTCTTCTTTTCCTTTACATATCACCAATATTCTTCTTCCACTTCCACTTCCTCTCCCTCTTTTTCTTCTGCTTTTTCTTTTCATTTACATATCACCAACATTCTTCTTCCATTTCCTCTTCCTCTTTTTCATCTGCTTCTTCTTCTTTTTCTTTCCAGTCGTAAGAAAAAAAAAAAAACTTTACGTATGATAATAATAATTTTTTTTCTCCGCGATATGAATTAAAGTAAAAAAAATTTTTTTATTTTTTTTTAAAAGGAAATTCAACTTGAGAAAACGAACGAACGAACGGGTGCGAAGGGGCGCGAACGTTTCGTTCGTTTTTACATAACTTAAGTCTATGATATTTATTTATATATATATATATATATATATATATATATATACGTCAAAACGTTTTTTTGTTTTTTTTTTCTGATTTATTGCCTTTTTTTTTTTTATGTAATTGTGGTCGACGTCGTGGTCGTCGTATAAACTTCGCGTTACGCCATCGACGTTTCCGGTTTACTTTTTATTTTTTTAAAACAACGATGACGTCATCAAATCCTCAGATCCATCTTTTTTTTTCGACTTAAAATTTTATTTATAATTTGCTCGCATCGTAATTTTGAAAAATCCATTTTTGCCTCGGTTCCATTTCGTCGCAGTCTTCCATGAGTAATTTTTGTTTCGTGCTTGCCATAGTTAAACATTTTTTACTGCTTCCGTGTTGTATGAGATTCGTCTGGAGCGTGTCAAAAGAACAAAATAAAGTTAATAATTATTATTAATTTTCAATAATTAATTGAACATGGCGAATCGACTTACGTCAGGATTATAATGCCAATATTGATTTCCTTTCGATCCGTGACATGGGTATAGAATAACATCTTGTCCGGCATAATCGAGACAAGCTTCATCTCTTCTTATTTCTCCAGCTTTGCTAAGCATCCAATACTGTACAAAAATATTCATGTTAATATATAAGACAACCGACGACGAAAACAACGAAAAACAAAAACAGCAAAAGCAACAAACGCTAACAAATTAAACGACGAAAGTTAATTTGCATGCAAACATTTTTAAGCATAAAAAACAAAAAAAAAGCGTACAACGTGTCACCAGAAAATAATTTAATTACTTACGAATCCTCACCTCCTTCCACCCCACCCCCTCTCCTACTTTCGTCAATATACTTACCATTTTCGAACCTTTAATTTTGTCCTCACCAACTTTTTAGTCGTTTTAATTTAAAAAAAAAAAATGTCACTGACATTTTCTAAACTTACCTGATTGCCACCTTGTTTGTGACATGGCCATAACCCGACAGGTTTGTGCATATCTTCCGACTTACATGGACTGTCTAAACATTGACCAGACCAATTGTTGCTCACCTATTATTCCGGGGAAACATCAAGGAAATGGAATGAATAAATATTTATTTATCATCTCACATACCCAACATTTAAGCAACGACAAACAAAAACAACAATTTATACGTAAAAAAAAAAATTCAACCCCCCTCCCTATTAACACCCCCCCTACAAATACTACTACTTTCAAGCGGTACAAAAAAAAAAAAAAAAAAAAAATTAAACAAATTCGTCTCGTTCTAGCATACAACAACAAAAAAAAACGTTTTCTGTTGATTGCAACATAAAAATACAAACAAACAAACAAAAAAACAAAAAAGGCTAAAGCAGGTACGACATTAAACAATTTTTTTTTAAATTGACCTGATTGCCTCCCTGCCTGTGACAAGGGAAAAGGCCGACAGCTTTGTGTAAATCAGCTTTCCTAGCGGGACTATCGAGACACGTTTTACCTCCCAATCCTTTATTTCTCACCTAAAATAAATGGTTTTTTTTTAAATGTTTCTACTAATGCCACGACGTAAATAATTTACCCCCTCTCCCTCTCCCTACCCCCTCTTCTCTTGAAATTCTCTGAAATTCTTATTAATTAAAAATTTAAAAAATTTTCAATAAAAAAAAAAGAAAAAATGAGCCGCACCTCTCCACCGGCAACAGCTTCTCCAGGTATGAATAATTCTGGATAAATATTATCCAGGTACCATTTAAACGATTTACAATTTAATCTTTTTCTAAGTTCTTTCCTTGCTGACACGTCTCCGAAATCTCCCTGGAAAAAAAAAAAATTTTCAATTTCCCATAAGAATTAAAACAAACGTAAAAACAACAACAACAGCAACAGCAACTTGGTCCAGCCATTTTTCTTATCACTATACCTTCCTTATCAATTTATGGAATTGATATTTTTTTACCTTATCATCACCGATCCTTTGATAATAATATTTGGCATAATCGTCGAGCCAAACTTCGGCTAATCGAACCGAATTCCTTTTCAAAACGTTAACACCTGATCTCCATTTGTAGGGGGACCTGAAAAAAATAAAAATAATTATTGAACAATTGTGTCCGTTCAGAAAATATAAAGATGAGAGAAGGCAGACGGGCGGGGGGCGGGAGTTAATGCCGTGCTCCTGTAATCCAGCTACTTGGAGGCCGGGTGCAGCGGATGACTCTGATCGTGTAATTCGGATCCTACTTGTTGCGCATTTTTAATAAACGGTCGACGGGACGCCCTGACTAAGCGTTTCCGCCCGCCGACAGGGTATTTAGGGACTTGTTCCCGATGCACGGCGGTTGAGAGCCGTTTTCCCCGATCGCAGACGAAGAGTCAGACCTGTACCTTACCAACCTTCCGGGAGGAAAAGAGTGTGGGACTCGGCACTTTTCTTTCAGGGTTTCATCATCCTGCTCCGGGAAAACGGGGATGCGAGCGGAAGGATGGCGGGAAGATCTTCGACGTCGGAGTCCGCACCGGTCGGATTCTCGCTCCTCGGACTGCAAGAGTGAACAAGAAGGCGGCAGGGGCGAAACGCGGACGGACTGCGGGGGATGTTTCGTGGGTCCGATACTTCGAGGCTCACCACCTCCGGAAGCTCACTTCGTCTCTGCGGGGAGGTGGGAACGACGTGGCAGGTTGGTACCGTCTCCCGAGGCACGAGGGGGGAAAGAATTCGTCCCGGTACTCCGAGTCGGGTTCCGGATCTCTTTCTCGATTATGTCGGGGGGAGATTTGTTCCGGCTTCGGTGCGTCGGCGTTCTCCGCGGCGGTCGGAGTCTGGCAAACTTTCGGTCGTCGCGGGGTCGTCAAAGGGGGGGAACGGGAATTAATGTTTCTGATTTTCAGGTTCATGTCTTCGATCTTTCCCCCGGAGCGATGGCAGCGGCAGGGGCGCGCAGGTGAAGGAGGCGGGCGGTCCGGCCGGGAGTAGCGTCCGTGTCGACCGGTTCCGGAAGCTCGCGTTTCCTGCGTCGGGGGCGGGAACGACGTGGTCGCGATCGTCCCCGCAAAGGTGAGGGTGAGGACGCCCGGCGGGGGCGGGCGCGAACCCGTCGTCGTCGGGCGAACACACACACACACTTCTTTCTTTCTTCTCGAGGGTCGGCGACCCCGGTTGATTCCTCTTCTGTCCCCCTTTCTATTTCCCACACCGTTAGGGAGGATGCGATCAAATAATAATTCTTCACTTTAATCTTTTTACCCTTTTTAGGTGACGTGGTAAGTCTCAATCCCAAGCCCCGATCGCCGAGGACCTCCCCAAAAGTGATCATGTGGAACGGCTAACGTTCTGATCTACCGGAGAGGGGAGACTGAAATGTAGGTTCCACCCCCACGAGCGTCTCCCTCCTTTCCGTACAGGTCACGCTCTAGCGACATCCCCGCACTCCCTCTGTAGCAGGAGGGGTTATGCGTAACTTGCATTTCTCTTGGGTTACCAAAAAAAAAAAAAAAAAAAGGCAGACGGGCGGGCCGAGGAAAGCCCGATTCGGCAGGGAACTTTGCGTTCGCACGGTCCGATCGTGGCAGGCGCGTTTCAGCACACGGTCGCGAAATGTCCCACGTGGGACGATCACAGGCAACGGCTTGTTGGCGTCATCGGACCCGACTTGTCGATCCGCGGCCTCGTGAATGCGTTGCTTCGCGGACCCCGGGAATGGTCCGCCGTTTCGCGATTTTCCGAAGCGGTCCTACGGGCGAAAGAGGTCCGCGAACGCGAAAAGTCAGGAGTTTGTCGACGTATGCTCCGGACAAGTAGGTTTAAGGATAGGCCTAGAGATAGGTGTAAGGCTAGGTCTAAGGTTAGGTTAGGATCAATAAATCCCGCTGATGAGGAAGGCGAGGAGGACCAAGAGGAAGAAGAGGCGACGAAAGGAGCGGTTCCGGACCTTCGTCATCGGCCGTGGGAGAGAAAACGTCGTCGTCGGAACGAGGAGGTGGAAGAAGAAGAAGAAGAGGATGGCGACGGCGTCTTCAATTAGCGAGGTGCGGCGACGAACGCGAGCTTCGTCGTCGGTGAGTTTTCTTCTTTATAATTTCTCGGAGGTCGGCGGTCCCGGTCGATCTCCTCTATCTATCTTGCCCCCACATTTAGTCCTCATTACCCGTTAGGAGAGAATGCGGTCAACAAACGTCTTCTCTTTCTTCTTTAATTTATCCTTTACTCAGGTGGTGAAGTTTTAGTCTAAACCCCCAGCCCCGGCCACATTCTCTGGAAGCAGGCGAGCTTTCCGTCCCTTTCCCCCCACAGCGAAGGACCGGAGGACACTCCCGAAAGGGACTGTCGAACGTCCTGGGAGATGCGTTCTCATCTTCGAGGCGAAGGCGAAACGAAGATCAGGGCGGATCTCCCCAACTGAAAATCGTGTGGAACGGTAACGTTCTGGCTTACCGGAGAGGGGAGACTGAAATGTAGGTTCTACTCCCACGAGCGTCTCCCCCCCTCTTCATATAAGCCACGCTATTGCGATATGCCCAGGAGTTTTAGTGGGTACGGGTTCCCGGTGAGGCTTTCTTTTAATCCATACCGAGCCCCACACTCCCTCCTTTCAAAGGAGGGGTTAGTGCGTAACCGTATTTCTCCTGGATCACCAAAAAAAAAAAAAAAAAAAAAAGGCAGACGGGGGTACTGATAAGGGAAAAAAAAATAAATGAAAGGCAAGAGTCTTACCTTCTTCTAAATATGTGACCGACGTGAGAGCAAGGTACGATTTCCAACGTTCCTCCGCACATCCACGTTTTAAATGACAATTCTAAATTTTCACCCCCCCAAATATCGAAACCCGAATCGTAGGTTCCAATTCTTTCGAAAAAATTTTTATCAATTGCGAACAAACCCCCGGCCATCGTCGGAGACCAAACAGGTTCGGCCGTGTTTTTATGCCTTTTTTTCTCCCTTTCCGGTACGGCGTGCCAATTAAACTGAAAAAAAAATTTAATAATATCATTATCATCATCACCATCATCATCATCATTATAGTTTCCTCAAACAATCGAAAAATGACGAGCGTACCTGTAAATTCCAATCGAATCCTCCGACGTTGACACCCCCAGAATCTCTAAAATTATATTCTAATGTTGTATCATCGATGACATCAATGACAGGGCAAACCACAGTTGTCGGGTCTTTAGCTATCCTATCCAAAAGTGGTTCCAACCAACCTAAAAAACCAAAATTTTTTCTTTTTTTTTTTCTTTTCTATTTTCTAACGTTTTATTTTAAATAAAATAATAATAATAATAATAATAATAATAATAAATAAATCAAATCCCAATATATATATATATGTTTTATAAATATATGCGGCGTTTAAGTGAAAAATCGTGTATTTAGAATCAGAAAAGAAATATATATATTATTTTAAACCTTTTTTTTTAAGGTTTCTTTCAAGTCATAAAAAAAAAAAAAAAATTATCACATTTTCCTTTTATTCTCCCTTCTTTTTTTTTCTGTCATTATCGATAATAATAATAATGATAATAACATACCAACTGTGCATTCACAATGTGAATCTAAAAATGTTGTTACCGGCGCAGTGGCACGAGTCGCTCCCAAAAGTCTCGCTCTTATCAAACCTTCCCTTTTCGAAGCTCGAATTATTTTAACTTTTGGATAGTGAGACATGTAATCTTCTAATTGTTTTTTTAAATGTACTGAAAAATAAATAAATAAACATAAATGAAAATGTCCGTTGGAAGGGGCGGGGAGGGGAGGGGAAGCGTGAGTGCGTGCGTGTGCGTGTGCGTGTGCGTGCATACGATATTTATGGTTAATTAACAACAACAACAAAAAAATAAAATAAAATTTACATTTTTTTTTTTACGAAAATAAAATGGGAAAAATTATGGACGCGCACGAGAGGGGGAGGGGGAGGAAAGCGGACGATGTAAATTAAGGGAAATTGAAATGAATCCGAAACGCGGGTGCGTACACGCACTCACGCAATAATTGTTTCAAAAAAAAAATAACAAAACATAAAATTTGAATCTTAATTATTATTTTTCACAAAAAGGGTTAATTGTTTTGTTCGCCGTTCTTTACCATTTCCCTCTCTCTTTCTCTCTCTCTTTTTTTTATACCACCACCATCACCCCCCTTCTTCCCCTTCCCCCTTTCTCCCATTTTTGAAAATTTATATCGAGGAACCCTCAATTATCAAATGAATATCATTTCAGAAAAAAAAAAAACGATTCTGGAAGTTTCTCTCTCTCTCTCTCTCTCTCTCTCTCTCTCTCTCTCGCACACTCATTTTCCAAAAAATCTTCGCTAAAAAAATTTTTGGCTAAGCGTATTTGGATTTACCCTTTTTCCTTCCCGCCCCCCCGGCCTACCTACCATCTTTTTCAATTCGAAAAACAATAATAATAATTATTATTATTCCTTATTAAATTTTTTAACATTTACATTTATGAGTAATCATTAAACAATTTTTTTTTTTTTTTACCACAAACAAAAAACAATGAGGTCAAGATGAGAGAAAGAGAGAGAGAGAGAGAGATAAGGGGGGAGGGGAGGGAGAAAACAATCATCAAAGGTTAGTTTAAATGATAAAAAGTTAATTACCGGACCTTCGTGACCTTAATAATTTTTTTTCTTTTTTTTTTAAACGAATAAATAAGCGAGTGGAAAAATAAAAAAAAATTGTGAGAGAAAGAGAGAGAGGTGGGGAGAGAGAGAGAGAGAGAGTTGTGGAAAAATTAAGAAAAAGTCAAAACTTACTCATATCAGAAAAATCATCAACTAAAATAATTTCTTTGAGCAAATTAGGAGGCGAACGGTCTAAAACTGAATGAACCGTTCGCAAGAGAACGCTCCAGGCTTCGTTATGAAAACATATGACGACAGAAGTCTGTGGAAGATCCTGTAAAAACCTTCCGGGTTCTTTGCACCTGAAAACATAACACAAAAACAAAAAAATCAAATTATAAATTCCTAGTACTATCATCATCATCATCATCATTCAAACTGTCGTAAACCCGTGAACTTTAACCTTTCAAAACTATTTTTTTTTTTTACATCCTTTGTTCCTTTTTTCCTTCTTACCCTCCCCCATCTCCCGATTAACCCCCTTCCCTTCACCTCGAGGGGTTAAAAACTTTTAACCATTGTTTTAATTTTCAAAGAGTTGAATTTGGTTTCCAAAAAAAAAAAAAGGTCAAAAAGGTCAAAATGTTTTTTTCTTTTTTTTTTTTATTGCGACCATGTTTTCATCGTCGCCGTCGTCGTCGTCGTCGTCCCGCAAATGAAGTTATACACGGCACTAAATAAATGCTAAATTTTGTTAGAGTTGATGATAAATAATACGTTACAACTTTTTTTATTATTATTATCATCATCATCATTAATTTTTGTTTCAAAAAAAAAAAAAATGAGAAAGAGAAAGAGAGTGAGAGAGAGAGAAATGGTTTATTATTAACGTCTAAATGGTTTTTAGTTTTACCAAAAAACATTGAATTTCTCCCCGGTAAATAATAATTAACCATCCTTTTTCCTTTTGTCTTTTCTCCCTCTCTCTCCCCTCCCTCCTCTCTCATTCTCGTTTTCTACCAAAAAGCTCTCGACGACTTCACCTAAAACCCGTTTATTTTGTTTGTTTGTGTGTGTAATTGTTTATGGCTTCGTATTGTTTAACAAACAATTTAATTATGAGATTCGGTTTTTAAAAAAAAAAATTTTATTCGATGTGACGTCATTTTTCCATTCATCCATTACATCAGGTTTTAAAAAAAAACCTGGAAGAAGAATAAGATGGAGAAGAAAGAGGAGAAGAAGGAGAAAAAGAAATGAAAAAAAAAAAAAATTTTTTTATTAAACAACAAGAAAACAAGGTTTTTCCCAACTTTAAATCCTCTTATTTATTATTATTATTATTATTATTATTATTATTATTATTATTATTATTATTATTATTATTATTATTATTATTATTATTATTATTATTATTATTATTATTATTATTATTATTATTAATATTTTCTTATTTAACTGACCATGAACGACCTTAAAAATTAAATAGTTAACATATAAGTTTTTTCCATGGAAACCTTTGACCTTTCGCATTAAAAAAAAAAAAAAACATTTAAAAACGTTTAATTCATTATTAAAAAATTGTTTGCTTATTTAAATGCCATTTCAAATTGTTTTTAAATTTACATTTTTATTCTTTTTTACGTAAATATTATCTCTCCCCGCATAATTATGATGATGATGATGATGATAACAAGATTTTTTTCCAGAAGGTTATCATCATAAACGAACTGTAAAAAAAAAAAAAATGGCGGAGGGAGAAATTTTTTTTTATTTTATTGTCCAAATTTCCCATCTTTTATTGAAAAAAAAAAAAAACACTCGAAAGATTTGCATACATTTTATGGAGAAAAAAAAAATTTTTCCCTGTCGCGAATGACAATCCAGTCAATCCAGGAAAAAAATCCCGTTCCAGATAAAAGCCCTGGATAAAAAGGAAACTTTTATCGTTTTTATTAGTTTACGTTAAAAAAAAAAATTCTTCTTCTTATTCGAATCGCAAACGAAAATTTTATCCAGCCTGGAATTCCAAATTCATTAACAAACAAAAAACCATTTAAAACATTTCTTCTCCAGACTATCTCTGGAATATTTTTTGAATGATAATCGTCGGTCTCGTAATATTATCATTATCATTATCAAATAAAAAAATAATTTGTCAATTTTTTTTTTTTTAATGCGTTACTTATCAGTCGTTTATTAACGTTTATATTAATAAATAACTTACACGCGTGTAACATTAATAACAATAATAATAATAATGTTCCAGTGGAACAACAAACATAATAATAATAATCATCATCATTATCATCTAAAACAATCATTTTATCATTATTATTTTTTTTCGGATTTAAAAACTTGAGAAATGATAAGAATTAAAAATTTGCAAAATTTTACAGAATGCGTTATAAAAAAAAAGTAAAAACGAATAATAATGATAATGATAATAATAATGATAAAGTTAAACAACGGATTAAGGTAAATAACAAGTGACGTCATAGAAAAGGATTTGACTACGAAAGGATTCTAAATCAAATTTTGTAAAAAATCAACGAAATTATAAAAATTACAAATTTTTTCGAGAAATTTCGATTAGTGAAAAATTTATCATTATTATCATCATCATCATCATTATTATTATTATTATTATTATTATTATTATTATTATTATTATTATCATAATGAGTGAACATTCCGTTTAAAAAAAAAAAATTAACTTGGAAGCATTTTGTTAGGTTGTTATTTGTAAAAAAAAAAAAAAAGTACAAAAACGAGATTTTTGACTCTTGTTAATAACCTGGTGCCACGATGGTATTTGAAAGGTGGCAACGTCCGGTTAGAATTTTAAAAAAAATATCGATGGGTGGTCCAAACAAACATCCCGAACAAACAAACAAACAAACGCAACAAATTAATTTTTGCCAATTTTCCAATCGTCGGGGAACCAGACAAAAACCTTTTTTTTTTTTTTTTTTGTAAATCAAACACATAAATAAAAAGTAAAGAACCGGTTAATTAAATTTCATCCAGGTAGTAACTCGAAGGAAGAGGAGGGGGAGGAGGAAAGGGAAGGGTAGGAGAAAAAACGGAAACGCCCTAGAAGGTATATCCGATACATGCGTTCACGCACAAACACTTTGAACCATAAGTTAATACGAAGAAATTCGACGGGGGGACCCACCATCTTTTTTAAACCATACGATGATGATGATGATGATGATGATAATAATAATATAAATTATTCAAAACGTTTCAAATAAAACACGCTGGAGAAAAGTTTAATAAAAAATAATAATGATAATAAATGAAGTTTATTGGCCTTTTTTCTCTCTTTAGTCTTTCATTATTATTATCACTAATATTTTTTTCAACAAACAAACGAAAAAAAAAAAAAAAAAACACAATTTAAAGTTGTTTGTTGTTTGTTGTTGTAAAAATTCAGAGAAGAGTGGTTTTTATGACTTCCTAATTGATATAACGGGAGAGAAGATATAATAACAACTATTCTCTTCTACCTGGAGGCGTTTTTTCTTGTATTGGATTTTTTTATTATTATTATTATTGCTATTCGTCATCGATGAAGACATGCTTTCGTCATTGTTTAAATGTGTGCGAAACATTTTTATTATGAACGTTTGAACTCAACACACGTTACTAAAACTCGAAACTCGCGCGGTGTGCATGCATGGCATCGTGTCATGGAATGTCACGGCGACAATCGCCAGAAAAAATTCTTTCCACCCAATTCCAGAAAATCGTTTAAGTTATTATTATTTTTAAATAACTGCACAAAACTGCCCCCCCCATTCCTCTCCACCCCACCGGAATCGATCCATCATCGCATTTTGTTCCTTTCTCCAATTTTCATTTTAAATCATTATCATTAATATTACGTTCGTTTGTTCGTTTGTTTTTTAAATAACGATTCTTACGAATTCGAAAAAATACCGTTAATTCCACGATAATGTTTCCTTCCCTTCACCCTCCTCCCCCACCTCCCCGCGCAATTTTTCACTCCCCCCCTTTACTCTCGATTAAATTTCGTACTCACAATAGATTCGTTCGATTTTTAAAAACGCGCCTAAATATCGTAAAATAAAAACCAATTTAACCATTTTGTTGTTTGTCGTTTGTTGTTGTTGTAGCAGACGATGATAATGGTAACTTATCAAAAAATTTACTTCCGAACAGTAAATAGGTTTCCTTCCTTTGAAATTTTTTTTTTTTTAAAGAAAAATAAATAAACCCATTTATCATTTTGAAACTCCCCAGAAAAAAATATTTATTATTATTATTATCATTATTATTATTATTATTTCTTGTTTACTATCAAATAAATAAATAAATAAATAAACGAAGATTTATTTATTTTTTTGTAACATTTTAATAACGCATTCATCATAATTAGAACGAACGACTGGAAAGCGAAGATAGAAGAACGAAGAAGAGGATGCGGAAGGAAGAAAAGAATTTTCCCCCTCCCCCCTCCCCCCGTTGGAAAACTACGAGAGAAATAAAAACGCATCCACAGTAACCTTTACCCTTCCCCCCACTCCCCATCCCTTCGTACTTTCTTTTATATCGTGAAAAAAAAATAAAAAAACTCACCATTTATCTCTCGGATCGGGTAGTTTCCTATGAACGGATATCAAATCGCTAACGTATTGATTGAAAGCATTTTTTGACCATCCCTCGTCGACTAATTTTTTAATTTCACCCGTTAGATTGGCTGGAAGGTGAACGGGTCTCCCCATTTCTCCATATTCTCCCTTAGCAACCATGTCTTCTTCCGCCAAATCTCTCGGAGGAACCAAAACTCCCGCTCCGACTTCTATAGCACTGTTTTCTATTTTGTTCTTCAACCTGTTATCTCTGGTCCTTTTTTCCAATGGCACTTGCACGGTAAAAAAATTATTTATAGCATCTAATCCGGCATCTTTTAACAAACCGCTACTTATGGGTGAATCCACTATGACTTCTTGTCCTCCATCAATCATGTTCGCTCTTTGTTCCGTGTACAATAAAAACAATATCGTCAACCATATTGCTCCGACCAATATTAGTCCTTTTATTAAAAATTTAACTAAAGTCGATCTTCTTCTCAGTAGGCCCATTTTGTTTTTTTGTTTGTTTTTTTATCTATTTATTTAATTATTGCACACAATTTATTTATTTCGTTTGTTTGTTTGTTCGTTTGTTTCATACAATCAAAATCATTTTTTTTTTTTTTTTTTAATATTATTTCTTCGATATGAACCGTAAATTTTAACTAATACTAATTATAAGTTTAAAAACAAACACTTTAAAAACTTTTTTATCTTACTAAAAACTAAAATAACATTCGATATGGCAACAATCACAGGCGATATTATTATTATTATTATTATTTATTAATAACTAATTATTTATTCTTGTTTGTAAAAAAAATTTAAAAATTTTTAAAATTGATGTGTGTGTACGACGTTTTTTGTTCCTCCTTTCTCGTTTGTTGTTTTTTTGTTTGTTTGTTTGTTGTTTTAGCGTGCGGCGTGCGTGTGTTTGTATGCGCGTTGTATATACTTTTTTTTTTATTTCGTTTGTTCGCGACAAACATCCAATTTTTTTTTTTAAATTAATTAATTAAATTACCGAACGATGATACGTCTGCAAAAATAACAACAACAACAAACAAATTAATACAAGTTAAAATATTATTATTATTATTATTGTAAACAAACGAATCGCGATAATAATGATAATAATTACCTTTTCTTATAAATCCACGTGTGATTTGTCTTCTGATATGATGATAATAAAATATATAGATATAAAACTATCGGGAAAAAAATTTGATGATATCACGATATTTATTATTATTAATAATAATATTAATAATAATAATTAATAACGATGATTATAAAATGACGAATGATTTACAATAATAATGATAATGATAAGATATATATATATTTATGTAGGTAGGATATGTAGGGTATTCTCATGTAAAATTCGGTTTTAATAAATCACTGAACGTTTCCATTATTATTATTATTATTATTATTATTTAATTTATATGATCGATGAAATGGATTCGTACGTCGTCGTCGTCATTGGCCCTTTTTATTAACATCAAAAACCACGACATTCGTTTCGTTGATGACGTAATTGTATTTCCGATTCCTTTCATTTCATTTTTTCGTTTTGTTTGTTGTTTGTTCGTTTGTCGATTTTAAATAACCAATCGTTGAATTTTTTCGCTTTCTTTTCTCTTCCAATGTTTTACAATGACATCTGCAAAAAAAAAAAACAGAAAAAAATTAAAAAATTAAATTAAATTCAAAAATAGGGGGTGAGGGGGTGGAAGTGGGTGGGATGGAGAACGAGACGAGCGGTTAAAAAAAATTACGTTAATTGAAACGCATTACGTAAATGAGAATTTTTTTTTTTTTTTAAATTATCATTATTATTTTCGGGATTCGAGCGGATGGTTGGATGGGGGGGAAGGTTTATTCCCTTCAGTTATGCCCTCGCCCACTCTCCTCCTCCTGTTTGTTCAACGTGTATTAACGTCACCGTGATTTTTTCATTTTCCCCCCCTCCTTCCTTCCTCGAATTTCAATTCATTCTTTTCAAACATTATCATCTTTCTTAAGCCTTTTCAAAAAATTTTTACCGGACGTATTGTGCAATAAAAATTAAAACTTTTTATCATTATTATTATCATTATTATTATCATGACTAAATAATACAAAAAAAGAAGAAGAAAAAGAGAAAGAGAAAAAGAAAAAAAAAATAAAATAAAATAATAAGATTATTTTTTCATCTTTGTTCATTTATTTTAACAAAACAATTCAATACTGGAAAAACCTTTTTCTTTAAAAAAAAAAACCCTTTTCGACCTTTTCCCTCCCCTCCCCTCCCTCACCCACCTTTCCTTCCTTCTTCCTTTCCCATTTAAAATAATAATAATAATAATATTATTATTTTTCATCATTAAATAAAAAAAAAAAAATTAATTTTTCTATTATTAAAATAAAACAATTTCCTCTCCTTTTCCCTTCTCTCTCCCCGTTTTCTTCCTTCCTCTCGTAAATATTATTTTGACCTGGAGAATATTTCACGCTGGAGAAAAAAAAAAACTTTTTCAGGTTTTTCCTCCTCTCCTTTTCCTCCCCTCCCCCTCCCTTCACCACCGTTTCTTCTTTCTCATCATCATCATCTTTAAATTTACCATCTTGTCCCCTTTTGTTTTTCCTCCTTCTCCTACTCCACTTTTGTCCTTTCTTTCTCCTTCTCTTTCTTTTATTAAAATAAAAAAAAAAAATACTCGTGACATTTTATTCCAGAAAAACCGGTTTCATTTTTTTTTTTTCTCCAAAAACTGGAAAAAAAAAAATTTTAAGCGCGACATAATTGATACCTCTTTAATATTTCTTTTCCATTTTTTTTTGGATAAAATAAAAAAGTGAAAAATTAAGTTTTCGACCTTTCAACTTTTAACCTTAACAAAAAAAAAAATTTCTCAAGCAGAAGACGCGAAAAGACCAGTTTTTTGTCATTTGGCAACGAGGAGGAGAAACAAAAAAAAAATGTCTCTCCGTAAATGTTACTGGATTTATATTACAAAAGTTTACGATTTGATATTTAAAATTAGAGAGAAAGAGAGAGAGAGAGAGAGAGAGAAAAAAAAAAGAAATTTTCCAAATCAGGGCCGTATTAATTTAAAAAAAAAAAAACAATTTTCTGCGGGTTCATTCAAATGAATTCTTCTCAAAGGAGAACAAAGTCGGACAAAGTAATAATAATTTTTCCAAAGTTTTAAAAAAGTTACACTTAAATTATTGATCTTATGGAAACAACCAACCAACAACCAACCATTAACCAACAAACAAACAATCAACAACCATTGAACGACGCGACAACAAATAATAATAATAATAATAACGCAAAAACTTTTTTTTGTGTGTAAAAATTTTATTATTAATTTAATTAAATTATTTCAACTGTAAAGAATGATACGTTTGTGTTTGTCACACAGGTCAAAGGTTATTATTTTCATTTTCATTTTTTTTTTTAACTGGAAACCCTTAATCCAGTCATTCTTTTTCAAAAAAAAAATTCGTTTAATATTATTTTCCAGTTTTTTTTTCCCGGAAAAACAAAAAAAAATGATAAATTGTTCAACAAAACGTACAAAAAAAAAAAAGAAAAACTTTGTTCTTAAAAAGCTAACGAGTGACTTTATAAAAGCAAACAAACATTTGTCAATGAACTTTTCCTTATTTTTTTTTTTCATCATTTTTTTCTACATCCACGTTTTTTCCCCTTTCTCCCTCCCTTTCTCTTCCCCCTCTCGCCTCGCACTCTTAACTCGTTGCTGCTTTGAGAGTCGCCATTATTTTTTTTCGAGAGTTTTGAAATTTTTATTTTGTTTAGATTTTTGAGAACCAAATGGGGGGAGGGAAATGTGCCCCCGGAACCGCGATTTACCTTCCTCACCCTGTTCCACCCCTCTCTCCCTCTACCCACGCTTTACTCGAAGGACACCAACAGAACACGATCGTGGATTAACTTTAAAAAAAAATTACGTAACAGAATTTGAATAAAATTTTCAAATTAAACGAAAATCCGTTCGTCGTCTGACCGATGACGCGAATGTTCGGACGAACCAACAAACTTTCTAGAAAAATTTAAATTTTTATACTCATTTTAAAAAAGAAAAAATTTCGACACGAGTGCGAAAAAAAAAATTTAAAAAAATTGCGAAAAAAAAGAAAATTTCAATGTCAAATCGTGTCGAAATGTGAATCGCGAAACACACCCTCTAAACGCGCGCAAAAAAAAAACCTCATGAAAAACGAAATCCGTGAAAATTATTATTATTATTAATATTATTATTATTATTATTCGATGGGTCTTTTTTTCAGCCAAAACCACGTTTATTTATTCATATATAAAAAAAAAACTCCCACGAAAAGAACAAAAATCTCAGAAATTAAATAAATATTAATTATTATTATTATTATCGTCGATTATTTATTAATCGTGTCACGAATATCATCATCATTATTATCATTATTATTATTATTATTATCGTGTCACTCCGTCTCGATCCTCTTTTAATTAATTTTAAATATTATATAAAATGTAAACATGAAGGAGAGGTCAAACCGGTTTCGGTTTTTTTTTTTTTTTTTTTTTTAATAAAAATTTCACCAAATTCAATCGAGAATAAATCGATAGCAAATAAAATAAAAAAATTTTTGCTACCGTTCAAAAAAAAAAAAACGAAATAATCTCAATCTATGTAATATGTAAATTATTGCTGCCACGTCAATAATAAATAAATAAATAAATAAAACATTTTTATTTACGTTAATTAATACGATTATTAAAAAAAAAAAATTCCTTCTTTTAATTTTTCTTTTCTTTTTTTTTTCATCCTCATTTCCGGTTTAAGACGAATAATAATAATAATAATAATAATAATAATATAAAAGAGAGCAAGACGAAGGGAAGACTCAAAAAACGAAATCGTTTGCTTTTCTATGAGACAACGTGTATTTGTCATTTTCACAACTTCTCCTGAGATCCTCCCGGTCACTCCAGAAATTTTGTCGTCGTCATCACACCAGAGCCCAGGTGTCAGAAATAAGATGAACTCAAACAGGAAGAAGGCTTACAACAAGAATTTTCGTGACGTCATAGGTCATAACAAAACGAAACCTATTCGAGCATGCAGCATCACTCTCATATTCAAGCAATTATACCTTAGGAATCGACCTGGGAACAGAAACCTGAGTTTAAATGTTGAAAACCACCGACAAACACAAGAATTCTCGCGATAGTAAGTTTTAATGATAATAATAATAATAATAATAATAATAATAATAATAATAATAATATTTAATTGTAAAAAAAAGAATTTGTTTCGTATACTCATGCATGCGTGAGATTAGGACGACGACGACTACAACATAATTTCCTTCTCTTTTAAATGAAAAGGTAAAAGAAAAAATGAAGAAAAAGGAAAAAGAATCGAAACGGAAACAAAGGAAAACAAGAGAAAATGATAAAAATAAAAGAAGAGACAAAGAAAACGAAAAAAAAAACGAAATAAATAAATAAAAATGTT